GGGCGGGGGCCGCAGCGCAGCCGCCGCCTCTCGCAGTCGGGCCGGCTCCAGTAGCGCTGCGGCGGGAGGTAGCGCCGGGGCCACGGGGCCCGGGCCGGGGGTCGTCCCCGAGTCCTTGGCCCAGTCCTGGTGCGGACCCCAGCCCTCGCCCCCGGCGGCTGCCGCCTCGTCTTCACTGCTGTGACTCGGAGCGTTCCCCATGAGGTCTCCGTCTCGGGCGCCCGGCTCTGCCGCCGCCGCCGCCCCCCCGCCACGACCTGTCAACCTCCGACGGCACCCGGCGGGCGGGGACGGGGAAGGGACGGCGGCGGCTGCGGCTTCCGGCTTCCTCGCCGACAAGCGAGGATTGATGTCGCAAAGGCGCCGTCAAGCGGACCCCACCAGCTGTCGCGAGACAGCTAGCTAGGGCAGCCTGATTTCCAAGACGGCGCGTCTGTCATTACGTCTACGTCACCCCACGGCCTCCTTTGCCACCATCTTTGTTGGGGGCAAATCATCTGCCGGCCAGGAAGGCTTCCCGCTGCTCACTTTCTTGGTATCCCTCCACAGTCACTAGCTATGCTAGAAAAGTACGAGAAAGAGTTGGAGCCAGGGAGTGAACTTTTCGCCAGACTTTCCCCTTTCAGTCCTCCGTTGTCCCCTTGGTGACAGGCGGACACAGGAGAGCGCGCGTCGCGCCGGTGACGTCGCGGCCGCTCCTCCGCCATCTTAGTTGTGGACAGAGAGGCAGCAATCTCTGAGGAGCCGAGGCGGTGCGGCTGTCGAAATGCTGAGGCTCGGCAGGCGTGGGCTCTGGCTGGGCCTGGCCGCGGCGGCGGCGGCGGCGGCGGCGGCGGCGATGGCCACACGGCTGATGGGCTGGTGGAGTCCCCGCGCTGACTTTCGCCTTTTCATACCCGAGGAGCTGGCCCGCTGTCGCGGCCGCCCTGGGGACCCCGGCCTCTACTTGGCCTTGCTCGGACGCGTCTACGATGTGTCCTCTGGCCGGAGGCACTACGAGCCTGGGGCCCACTATAGCGGCTTCGCAGGTATTAGCGGGGCGGTTCACGCCTATTCCTGCTACGACGCGGGCCGGTAGGCGTCTGCGCTTCATTCATTCACTTATTCATTCGTTTATTCATTTCCTCTTTTCCTCCCCACATTCGTCAGACCAGCGTGAGGACTGGGCTCAGCTGCATCATCCTTCTGGTCTGTTTTGACTCGGGCAGGACTATGGGCAACTGTTGCCAGCCTTTGCTTTCCCTGTCTTTCCCCACCGCT